TATGATAGACCTATCAATAACACATTTCAATACGAAAGCGATGAAAATTAATTCAAAAGTAAAGACGTGTAGAATGAAGAGCCATTTGAATGTTGACGACGTATGGATATATGGGAGGAAGTCATAACCCGCGTCGTCTAAAAGGGGGGTCATGGGAACTTTTTAAAAACACAACTTTTGTTCCGCGTCATGAAATGGGGTTTCAATGACACACATAGAGTGTCTTTGAAACTTTTTCAAAACACGATGTTTGTTTCACGTCATGGAATGGTGTTTCAACAACACAGATGACTTGTCGTGGAAACTTTTTTAAAACATGACATCTATTATGCGTCATGGAATGAGGTTTCAACGACGCTAATCACATGTCATCCTCTTCTTTCCATGGCGCGAGCTCGATGTCATGGATGAGGTTTTGATGATGTCAATTATGCGTCATGAAGAGTATGACGTTTTATTTGACGTCGTCTTTTAGGACTTTACATGATATGCAGAGAACACGTCATTGAACTTAACGACGTTCATAAGACGTCATTGAATTATTTTTCATGACACAAATCAGACATAGTTGAAATGTTTATTTTTATACAAAAATTATACATATATCCCATCATTTTAACTCTACAAAAGAAACTAATATATAGAAGCAAAACTGAAGATTAGGCTAATATACTTAAGTTAATATTGCTCAAAATGATTCTATTACATCATGACAAGTTTAAAAATTGTCTTTTAAGTTTAACTAATCCCACAAACTCAATTGTATGAAGTTCGAGAAAATTTGATACTTGCACTGTAGTTTGAGAGAAGATGTGATGCTTCATGTCCAAAAGAGGGTATAAACGGTACAAAATAATTATAACCACCATTACCTGCCTTAAAACAAAAGATCAGAAATTGGGAATGAAGGTCTAGAAATTACAAGTATGCATGAATAAGAATGATCCAGGTGTGTAAATTCTTGGTCCAAATGGGAAATTTCATTATATAGAAATGTCTTGCCAAACCAAATGCCAAATAAAACAAAAGGAGTAAGAGAATCCAACCAAAACTAATTTTAAGGACCAAAAATTCATGAACGAAGTCTGACCAGGAACCTAGAAAGAAAAAAAAACACAAGATAAGAAAAAGGTTTAAGCACAAGGAGGGATATGGCACAAGAGACTAAACAATGAGTTCACAAAGAATATATTTAATTGCACATTCTCTGTTTATTTGTGGCAACTTTTTTCACTGTCAAAGACATACTTTCAAACCTACCATTGCATGTGAAACTTTTTTCTTTTTTCCATACAAACATTGCACTATTTACTCGAACAATCCAATCAATGTTTTCTTATATCCCTGTTGTAACTGTGTAATTAAATGTGCATGTCATTAGTTTTTTTGGTACTTATTAGTGTTTTCTCATACTCCGTACAGCTCTACCAAAACCATCCACGAACTCTTTTATTTTCATAGCCTCACCATATCGATTTCGAAAAGAAGTAATTTATCTCAACTATATGATTTTAGAATAACCAAATTAACTTGATCCAAACATCGATCAATGAACCGAAAATAAATTTTAATTCAATTTCAATCACAAGTACACCAACACTTCAAGGAGAAAAGAAGAGTAACTGAGAGCATGAATCTTGCAAATTCGTTGAACTCATTTTAGCAAATGGTGAGAGTAAAATAAGGTGAACTTGCGCATCCACCAAAAACAAAAGCTTGTTAACCAAAAAGCCCAAATTATCCCAGAGCTTAAACCAACAAATCTTTCATTGCCAAGGCAAATGATATGTATGTGCTGAAATGAAGCTTGCTATTTGTAAGCCCTCATTTGCCTTTGGTGGCTGGGAGACTCTTGTCGATTTCCACCACTTTTTAATCAATATATCGAAATTTGCTGGCCCACGTCTAAATTATAGCTCATATTACCACAAGTAGGAGACAACCTCTCAGGTTAAACACTTGAATACAAAATATACCAACTGGTTAATTTACTTTAGAATTGCAGTAAAAAAACTTTAGAATCATGACTTCCTTATAAATAAATAATAAATAAGGGAGCTGATTTTTCCCATTTCATTTTTGTCCACTTACCCTCCCCTTTGTTTTTTTAATACTTTTTAATCAATTTTGTTCCTTTTTGTTCTTTCTCTTTCGTATTATACCCTTATCTTGAATTAAGGTTTTGATAACTGAAATTAAGATAAGTTAACATAAGGAATCTCTTACATTTGCATGTCTTTGGTTTGAAAGTTGAGAGGTTTTTCTGTCTTTTTTGGAAAAGTTTTGGCTTTTTCCAAAAGTAAAAGTTTTTTTGTGGCTAAAACCTAAATTTACTAAAATAGAAATAAATAAAAAAGAAGTCTCAATGTCTTCTTCTCCTCCATCATGTCCTTCCCACTTCTCCTACCCAAAATTACTCTTAGAGAAATTCATGAAATAGAACGATCCTTCTCCTACCAAAAGCAAATACTCTTTAATTATTGGTGAAAGGTTTAGGGATCGGAGGGCCTTTGGCAAATACTTTTTAACTATCTCTCTTCCCATAGAGAAAGCTCTATCCTTTCAATTATTTATGCATCTCCCTGAGACTATTTTACTGACTTAGACATTGGAGGGCCTTTGACCAACACCCCCTAAATGTGTTCCGTTGACGGCATCTATTTTGCATATCATTTTATGGGTGTTGACAACAGGAGAATTTGCTTCACTAAGTCCCTTGCCTGCATTTTTTGGGGTGTGGATCAGAGTAGCCTAATAGTTGTAATGTTTTTGGGCAGTATATATGTATTTTATTCATTTCCTCATGTGCTTGTGCTGCTTGGCAACCATAGAGATGCATGGACATGTGTGGTTGTTGATCCCAATAGTGGAATTGCAGTGTTACTTGAAATTCCTTGTAGATATGCTAATGTGACGCATTCAGGTTGGATTCTTAGGAGGACGATTATTCTCTATAGTGAATTGATGAAAAATCCCTGAAACTTAACATAAATTTTAACGGAGTTAGGCATATATGATGAATTGCAACACTTTATATAATTTAGGTAAAGAGAATGCTAGCAACCTTCTCCATTTCCCTCATGACATGTGTCATTTTCTTTACATCAAACAACCTACTTTTTGTTTTCCATATTTACCCTTATTTTTGTATTGACTTTAATGTTTACTTCAATTCATTCAAATTTTTTCCAACTCTCTCTCTCTTCGAATAATCACAGACTTGCAGCCCCAAATCCAACCCTCTATTATCATTTTGAGAGAGCCAGACCTTCACACCTAAAACAACATGACATCTCCCACAAAAAAATTAAAATCAAAATCAAAATCCATCAAAATCATTTTGTTTATTTCTCATATTAAAGTTTGCAACTTTAAGGTGAGATTTTTAAATTTGGGTTGGGCTGTTGTTGTTGGTGCTTGGTAATGGTCCTCAAACCCAAATTTAGTATAATGGCCAATGCTTGCCGTGGCCTTGAGGTCTTCTTACTGTAGCCAAAACTTGCAGGGGCTTGGTTTTGTTTGAAGAGAGATTGGGGGAAGAGAGAAAAAGAGGGAGAGAGAAGGAAGAGAGTATGAGGAGGTGGTGAGGAGAGGGTGGGGTGGAGATGGGTGGCGCTAAGGAGATGGTGGGGAAGATGGAGGTGCTGGGCTTTGAGGAAGAAGGTGGGGACGGCTTGAGATAGGTTTTTTTTTTTAATTTTTAATTTTAATATTTAATAAATTAATATAATAATTTGTTACAAGTTATTAAAAAAGCTGTAAAAAAAAAATTAATAAATTAAAGTAAAGTCAATACATCAAATAAGGGTAAATAAGAAAAACAAAAGCTAGGTTGTTTGTTGTATTAATGACATTGTTTTAAGTGTAAAGAAAATGACACATGTCATAAGGAAAAGAGAGAAGGTCCAAAGGAGAAGATTGCTAGCATTCCCCTTTACATAATTAAAGATAAAAATTGAAAATTCAGATAATATTTATGCAAATTTCTCAAAATATTAATACAAATCCACCTTAGAGTTACAAATTATTATAGAATGGGCCCTTTATAAAGTTTACCAGTATTTTTTTGGCATGGCACTCAATGTACCCATCTTGTGCTTATATATCAGTATCTTGAAATAAAAATAAAAATAAAACTAACTTGATGACAAGGATTCGAAACTTTGAAATTATTTTTCTTTAATTTTAAAGATTATGGGCCAAACTGCCAGCTGGCATTGACTTTGAAGAAGGATGTTGCAGAATGTACTGCAGCCGTATTTTAAACAACAATGGTACAGTGGCTGCAACATGCCAGTCACGTGGGCTTTTAAAAAAAAAACAACTGAAACCGGTTGTTTTGGTTAACCGGTTAAAATAAGGAAACAAATTCAAGTGCCTTCAAAACCTAGACGCATATTCCCTTTCCTCAATCCCCTCCTCCACAGCTTTCCACAGCCACAGCTCTATTTCACAGCTGCCCAGCTTTCCACAGCCTGAAATAAAGCTCCCCCCACTTCGTCTTCTCCATCTGAAGAGCAGATTTCAGCCGAAACCCACAAACACACTTCGTTTCTCTAGCTGTTCCTCCATCTAAGGTAAGTTCGTGTGCTGATTTTCATTATGTGTAATTGATGGTTATGTTGAATTTATTTTTCTTTTGTGTGAATTTTGAACGATGTGGCTATAAATGAAATTAAAGATATGCACTTAACGAGCTGCTCTATTTTCGCTTTCCAGTAACTTAGAGTTTAGCATTTGGGGTTGATAATTGGACCCCCTGTCCTGGTTTGTCGGCACTCCCCTCGTCTGCCGTCCGTACACCCTCTCGTGGAAGCCTCTGGTCTTCGCTTGTTCTGAAGGTAAGTAAAAACTATTTTTAGGTTTAGTTAATTGAAATATTGTGGTCATTACTTGGGGCGAGTCATGGGTAACTTCAAAATGTCGTGAGGTTAACTGGGTTTCTCACATTCATGCCTGTGTGAAAATCCAGCTCATTGTATGCAATTGCAGTATGTAGATTTATTTTTTAATTAAGAAAGTAAGGTGATTTAGTGATAGGTAGGTTTGATTGTGTTTTTGAATATTAAATTTTGGATATTTTGTGATGGAGTATGAAGTGTTTGGAATGTATAATGTTTAGGATTGATTGAGATTGGGATTGGGAATTGGAAGGATTGTGATTCCCGTCCCCACAGCGAAATGCATGAGCGGGTTGTCTACGTTATTTGTGCAAGGTTGTAATGGAGCTATTAATGGGTTCATGCCATTTGAAATAGTGTCATGCAATTGCATAGCGCTATGTGCAAATATTAATATCTTGTGTGCAAATCCAGCTCACTGTATGCAATTGCAGTATGTAGTTGTGTTTTTATTTTGTGATGGAGTGTAAAGTATTTCAAATGAGTAATGTGTAGTAATCTGTCGTGTTTATGGTTTATTGGGATTTGGATTAGTATTGAGATTCTCGTCACTAGAGATAATTGCATGATTGTGTTGTGAACTTGATTTGTGCAGGTTATGGATGCTGAAAAAAGTGTTCAAGTGAAAGAAAAGCACAAGGGCGAGAGTAATTTAGAACATGCAAGAGTTGGCCAAGATGCGTTTTTCCATTTCATGTAAGTTATAGATACATGTATCTAAAAAACATAAATTGGGTTGATTAATATTAGGATGATTTTTGGATTTAAAAAATGATTGACAGGAAAAAGGAATGGTTTAAAATTGGGCAAGTGTGTAGTGCAAAGTCAGACACTAAGGTGAGAGATGGCAACGGATTGGGTCACAAGTTACTAAATATTTTATTAAAATGGATTTTACTAAATATAGTACCTACTTTTACCATAATATAATTAAAGACCATCTAAATTACAAAATATGTCATTATCCCATTATTTTCAAATTTCAAATTTTAATTTTAAACCAAAACTTACAGCTATATATGGATCAGCAAAACAACATCAAAACACCAAAAACTTAACCCAAAATGACATCTACTCAAATTGAACGCTAACCCATTCGCGCGACCTACACCTCTAGAAACCGCCTTTCTACAGTTTCACACTATTCCCAAAAACTCAGAGGCTGTTCAGCGACGATTGTTCCACGGTAAACCACGATCAAAAACCACCAACAGTGACGAACACCAATGATCGAAGCTGATTCTCATTCTCTTTGAAAAAAAACCGTAAGAAAATCAACGCTCTAACACAAATTTGCCTTCGATTTTAGGGATTAAGGATTTTAGACATTTTAGCTACTGTTCATTGTGCATGCTCTCTTTGGAAAAATGGATGACTCTTTGGATTCACAACTACTCTTGGTTTAGGTTTTGCCTTTGTTTATAGGGATTAAGGATTTTAGAGATTTTACATATTGTTCATTCTTCATTCTGCAATGTAGTTTAGGTTTTGGGTTTTGGTTTTGGTTTCAAAACCAAAAAATCACCAAAGAAAGAGAAAAAGCATCAAATATATCTGTTTTCTGCACTGAAGAAAACGAAAATTGCCCTACATTTTCCTGTTTAGTTTGTAGTTCTTGTTTTGACTTTATGGATCTTTCCATTTCATGTCAAGTTGATGTATATTTTCTATTATATTTTGTGTTTTGGATGGCTCCTATTATATTTCTATTATATTTGATGTTTTGTGTTTTGGATTGCTCCTTTTAAAAGAGGAAGAGCATCAAGTATTTCTTTTTTATGCAATTTTCATTAATGCAATGCAATGAACTACAAACTGCATTGCACAAAATAGAAACTGCATTGTAGTTTCTGTTAATGCAATGCAATGAACCACAAATTGTATTGCAGTTTCTATTTCTATTTTCTGCTCAACTATTTATACTTCTTCCTTGTGGTTTATCTCTACTTGTCCCAATAGTATGTTCATCCCTTCTTGTTTCAGATCACAAATGGCACAAGAAATGTCCCCACAAAAGAATGAAGCTCAAAGCCAACAAAAGCCGAGAATCAAAATAATGGATCAAAAGAGAAAATCAAAGCCAAACTATGATAGGAAAGCAAAGCACCCGGACTATGTCCAGTTTCGGTGCAATGTCAATGCTTTCAATAACATCATTACAGACGTTAAAGACAAGCTCAATGAAAGGCAGAAAAAGCTGCTCAAGAAAACGCCTTTCTGGAACTTGATTGAGTTGTTTTACAACCAAAGAATTGACATGAATAACATGAATAAGTCGGACCTCGACTTAGTAAAGCTGCTCAAGAAGTTTGATCCAGATACAAAGTCCTTTAAATTCGGCACCAAATCATTCCAGATCACAGCCAATGCAGTGACTGATATTCTAGGACTGCCAAACGAAGGAAAATCTGTCAAACTTGGCAATGATAGATATACTGCTACCTTCAGAACAAGGCACTTTGGAGAAAAGTCAAAACCATCAAAATGCGTGGTAGAAAAAGAATTACAAAAGACAATTGCATTGGCAAACCAATCGAAGAAAGAAAAGGCCAAGGCAAAGCAAAAGAAGAAAACGAACATAGGAAAGGGAAAAAAAAAAGCTGAAGAACAAGAAGAACAAGAAGAACAAGAAGAAGGGGAAGACAAAGAGGAAAAGGAGGTTGTTGACTACGACAAGGATGTGGTCAGTCTAATCTTGATTATCCTCTGCATGACATTCCTTTTTGCCAACTCTTCATCCACTTTGCATTGGAAAATTGTTGAGCACTGTGTGACTCTAGACACACTTTCAAACTTTTCGTGGGCAAGAGCTGTCTCAACCTATATAAATGACTCTTTAATCACAAAGGCAAAAGCAAAGAAGGGAGGAAAAGCCTTTATAGGAGGTGTTTCGGGTTGCACTGTCCTAATATTAGTAAGTAAACAGTGGCTTATGCAATGAATTTTGAGTTTTATGCAATGAAGTTTCTATTTACTGCAATGCAATTTCCATTTACTACAGTGCATAAACAGAAACTGCATTGCAGTTTCCAACCTAATTTATGATATATTTTGTTTTTTAACTTTGCAGTTTCTACTGTGTGAGAGGACAAATATCATACAACCAATCCTTGACAAGGAGAAAGAAACTCCTGCAATTCTTAAATGGAGTCTTGTGGAACTCCACACAAGATTCAACCAAATAAAGGACTTAAACGACATAGAGGTATGCAATTTATTGCATGCTCTATTTTAATGTATCTTGAATGTGAATCCATGCTAAATCATTCTCATTGTATAGGGTATTTTCAAAACCCCTACAAAACAAAAAACTCTCAGAGAAGAGGGAGAGCCTGTTGACAAGGTAATTATAATATGTACACAGTGGCTTATGCATTGCAGTTTCTGTTTTTTGTATTCCAGAAACAGAAACTGCAATGCAGTGTCCGTTTCCTGCAATGCAATTTGCATTTTATCCAATGCAGTTTCTAAATCATTCTTATTGTACAGAGTATTTTGAAAACATATAAAAAGCGAAAAACTACCAGAGAAGAGGGAGACCTTGTTGATAAGGTAATTAGAATCTCTAAACAGTGAATTATGCATTGCAGTTTCTGTTTTCTACAATGCAATTTTTGTTTTATCCAATGCAGTTTCTAATTTGTTTCCATTCAATTTGCAGAAAAAAGAAAACAAAGATGATAAAGGAGGACAAGGAGAAGCAGATGAAGTAGCAGCAGAACAAGGAAAACCTGATGATGATGATCAAACTCCAGAATTAAAAGAGATTAGAAAAAAGAAAAGGTTTGAGATTGCAACTGGAAAAGAACCTGTTGCAATTCAAGACCTCTTGGTGAAGTCCATGATAGCTGAAATCAACTACCGCCAACATCAAGATCCTAGCTTCGTTTGCCCAGAAAGATTAAAACTGTGGAAGGATGAAATAAATAAAGACAGTGAGAAGAAAATGATGGAATTGTGGGATATATTTATCCAAACAGAAAAAAGATCAAACGAACTGGAAAAAGAGTTAGCAACACACAAAGAGAAATCACATGAAGAATGTGTGGCTGCTACTATGGCAGTGGAATCTACAATTCTGCTTCACGAAATACAAAATTTGAAAAGGAGGATTACAAAATTGGAAGGCAAGGAATCTCATATTGAGCCGGAGACAAGTGCCAAGAAAATGAAGAACAAGGCAGAAATTTAAGGCATGTTCTCGAACCCAACAATCTTTGAAATAGAGCGGGATCTGCTTACAACACAACCAACACAACCAGTTGAAGACAAAGAAGAAAATAGAGAAGAAGAAAAGAAAGAAGAAATAAGAAGAGAAGAAACAAAAAGAAAAAGAAGAAGAGAAGAAGCAACAACAAAAGAAAGAAGAGAAGAAGCAAGATGCTCCAACACTTGATGTTCCTAAGAAAGCACTAGGATGAGGGGAAAAGGAAGGTTTGGCAAAAAATTCCAAAAGAGGACCGGGACAAAATTCAAGAATACTACTTAAGTACTCAACCTGGGTAATATCCCTTTTCCAAAAGAACAATTATTTCATTTTTGAATTACAATTTTTAATTACATAAATTCCACAATACATGTTTACATGGACTTGGGTAAGAATTATTTTCAAGACTTGGGTAAGAATTATTTTCAAAATTCAAAATTGATTAAACAGACATTGCACTACAGTTTTTGAAAAATATATATTAACAAATTGCAATTCAATGCTTGCATCTTACATGTAAAACTTTGTAGAGCCAGCTTGGCATAGGGTCATGTATGAACCATTGTTGGAAAAACTCGGGAAATGCAATGTGCTTTTCTTCCCGATCATTTCAAGCACCGAGTTCCACTTTACCATCCTCGCATTTCACAAACTAGAACAAAAGTGGAGACACTACAATCCGCTTAAGTCATTGGGAACAAGAAAACAAGAAAGGTGCATTGACATTGCTCATCATATTGTAAGTGGAATGAATTTGTCTTAATTTCTTAGCACAAACACAAACACAAACTGCAATGCAGTTTCTGTATTATACCTACTGCCTAATTTCAGACCAAAATTATAATATGCAATGCACTAATTACTCTTTTTTTTTCCTTTTTTTTTTTCTTCTTTAAACAGGTTAATATTGTTGAAGAGAATACATGAGACCTAAAGCACAAGTGCTCTTAGAAAGTAGAAAAATACCAAAACTTGTGAAGCAAAGGCAAGAGCCCCCTACACTTGTAACCGAAGAGATGTCCCCAAATGAAGAACTTACTCTCAATTGGATTCTGCAGAGTCCATATCAGTTTCCATTTGAGGATGACACAGAATATGCTCAACAAAGTTCATCTTTGTAAGAATTGTTCATACTCAACTATTCATTATAGTTTGAAATCATTCAAAATAAAAAACTAATCTCATATTCATTCGTAGGTTGGATTGTGGCATGTTCGTCATGTTCTACATGGATTAAATAGCACAAGGACAGTCCATTCCAAAAAGAGTAGACAAGAATTTCATGAATGAATATTGAGCAAAATACATCACAAAACTCCTACACCACAGAAACTGTCTCATTAATCGTCTCTAGTGATTTGTTTTTTGTTAACACAAGACAATATGTATCTTAATTCTTCTAGATGTTTGAAAATATTTCTAGTTATGGGATATGAGAAAAGATTTGTTACACATCTAAACTGTCATATAATCTTAGAATAGGATGCAACAAAAGGAAAAAGAAACAAGAAACTGCAGTGCAGTTTCTGGTAAAAAAAAATGTAACAAACAGAAACTGCAGTACACACAATGCAATAATACATAGTTTACATAATAGGCTTCCATCTTATAAATAAATCAAGGCAGAATCACTAGCCATGCTCCTAAGTCTAACAACACATTAACAATGCAATTAATGAACTCAAATAATTTTACGACTACCACGGTAATCAACATAAAATAACTTATCAAATCTTCAACCTGCAGAAAGGCAATATAATACTTTCCACCAATTTTCAGCTGCAACAACTACCAACCATGAACTATCACCAGCAGTTCTAAAGGCCTTGGGCCCGTTATATAATATACTCGAACCTAAAATTAATCGTTTATTTCAAAATGGATCTCAGACCTGTCAGAACCACATCCACTATTTATTAAGATCCATTTAAGTGATAACTTAGAAATAAACAAGCATTTAATCTCGCTCGAGTTTAAATCGGGCTTCAGGCATACCAACATAATCAAAACCGAACCCAACATTAATAATAAATAGGATTCAAATCCAATAACCACATCAAAATCCATTCACATACTCAGAATCGATCAAACCTTTTAAATATAGTTTATTTTGCGGCTGCACCTAGTTGAGACCAGGCTACCTACGTACCCCTTGGTGAGAGATCAAGTAGAACGTAGTTCTTATTTCACAAATCGCGTTTCAGATAACATAAAATCATTTTTAGTATTACTAATAAGTTAATTATGGAATTATCTTTTCCCTTTAATTTAAATCACACTATACCAAACATAATCCTCTCTAAACATTTCTCTTTTCCCGACATAGTATAATAATTCCATTTTCCTCTCCCTGTTACTTTACTACGCGCAGGAGAGTCCAACACCACGCATAGTCAAGTAACAGTAGCCCAAGTGTACGGATCATTTACCAGACACCGGAAAAATCCAACGCCATGTGTGGTAAAGTAACCAGTGTCTCAATGGACCCACACGCTGGAAAATCCAAAGCTACGTGTGGCCCAACCAAACCATGTTCCATGTGCGCAAACTGCTTTATCATACGCCAAATAATCCAACGCCATGTGTGATAAGCTTATAACATAACCATATATGCCCACACGCCGGATATTCCAATGCCACGTGTGGGTACCATAACTAAGGGAGGGTACTTAGCATGGTGTAATCCCATATTCACATAACCAAACAATAAAGTACCCCATATTATATTAATCTTACCTAGTTATTAAATCATAGAGTGAAAAACAATTCCTCAACACATATAATCCATATTCAAAATAATTAAGCCATACTGAAATACCCACTCCCAAACAAATCATTTCCATCTAACCTATATATATATATATATATATATATATATATATATAAATATTACTCATATACCTAGGAATATACGATCTCTGAAAATCCCCTAAGACAAGATAATAAAATCCAAAACACCGTATCTTATGCAAAGTCACCATAATCCTTTATAAACAATATTAATGGCACTTATAATAATAGTAACCATAATAATATTAATAATAACAAAATATAAATGGAAAGTCTCCTGTTGCAAGATAAAAGCCAAGACCGAACCGATAGCCCGTTTTTCATAACCTCATATATATTTATATATATTATAAAAATAATATTCCAATTTTTAATTCAATTTTTCCCAAATATTTATTCACAGTATCGAAAATAAACTCTCAAGCAAATATTCTAAAAAGACCCCAAAAATAATTCAAATAGTAATCAAAACTTGTTTACACTTAACTTCCATAAAATACTATATTTTCATAATTAAAACAATAGACTTTCGTAAATAATCCAATACCACCCAATCCATATCCTTTAATAATAATCATAATAATATTAATTAATGATAAATAATAACCTTTAGAGATCTCATATCCTCATTAACCCATATTAAATCAATTTCAATTCAAAACTCATTATGCAAGAAATTTCATATTAGAAGAACGAAGTACACTTAAAAGCAAACATCCATTTATTTACTAATAATCATACCTGAGACCCAAGACTAGCTTTCATAACCCATCGATCAAGTATCACATACTCATCCCTTCCATAACTTCAATTATCAAACTAATAATCCAAGAATTTCATACGATAATATAAAACAATCACAAAATCCCAACATAGTGAACATAACTCAAATAACATTCAAAGACTCGTTAATAAGTCGTTCTAGTACTTCTCGAAGGGTGAAACTACCTTGGAAAACTCATGGCCAACCGAGGGGTCAAACTGCCCAAACTTGGTCAACCGGGCCTGTGGGGCTCATGACCTCCGATTTACGATCCGACAATTCCTATGGGTTCAACAAGGTTTATAATACACGTCCTGCAAGTTTGGTCCAAATCGAACGGTCGGATCTCTCGCAATCGCACGATCGGACGGATATCATTTAACGCAAACTTTAAGTTATTGAATTGGAACATCCGGGGCTCTGATTCACGATCCGCAAATCCTTACACGATCATAGGGATGCCTAGATCAACATATATTAAAATGAAGTCGATCCAACGGCCCGAACATATCGAACCAAGATAACGCCTAATATATGATATTCGATCTATGATCATATGACAATCAAATTCAAATCTGAGCATATCGTCATGCTCAGGAAGACATGGGGAACATTTTAGACACCCAAACAGTTCCCACGTGCAGGCAGCGCGTGGGTGTCTACAGAAATTCCAATGATTGGAAAAATCTCAAAACAGTCGGTCAAGACCGATACCTACATGATCAGGACATTGGGTGGAGAAACTTTTGTTCTTGGACCAACCCTAAAAAGTGGCCGGAGATGGTCGGAATCAAGGGCCGAAACAGGCCAAAACTTTAATCACTTAATCGGTCACCAAACGTAGAAATCAATCCTAAACAACATAACCAGTAGCTAGAAGACATTAAAAGGATGAGAAAGCATACATGGATCGACAAATTTGGTGGCTGGAATCATTGAAAATGACGACGGAAGTTTTATGTAAAATTCGGCCTATTTCTGCATTTTCCGGCTACCATGGCCATTGGCTTCATCGGATGTGGTGCGGGATAGAGAGAGGAAGGCGGTCCGGTCATTTTGGTATCGATCCCGCTACAAATGGTGGTAGGATAAGGTGGTTGCCAACCAAAGAATTGGCCGGCTATTACATCGCAAGAAGGGAATGAGGACGCTTGGGGAGGGAGAGAGAGGGAAAGAAAAAAATGAGAATTATTTGTAGCAATGATCCCTCAACTATACTCGGAGTTACATTTTGATCACTTAACTCAAATATTAGTTGCAGAGGTCACTCAATTGGGTGTTGTGTTGCACCATTAGTCCATACCGTCAAGTCTCTCTAACGGTAGGGACTAATGGTGCAACACAACACCTAATTAAGTGACCTCTGTAACTATTTTTTGGAGTTGAGTGACCAAAATGTAACTCCGAGTATAGTTGAGGAATCATTTCTACAAATAATCCTAATTGAAAAGTCACATTTGCCCATCAATAATCTAAAAGATATTTGTCACGTTATCATTTTAAACATAAAAAGTCACAGACTTGACGGTATGGACTAATGGTGCAATACAACACCCAATTGAGTGACCTTTGCAACTAATATTTGAGTTGAGTGACCAAAATGTAACTTCGAGTACAGTTGAGGGACCATTGCTATGAATAGCCCAGATTTTTATTAAAACCTTTTTTGAAATATTTATGATTATGCCACTATGCTTCTCTTGATCGTAACTTCTTTGTTACAACTCCAATTCGAGCCTACTACGTGTCTACGGACTCATCTCATATACGATCTATGTAATGGTGCCACTCATTTTCCAAAAATCCTTTCAGATTAAAAAGTGACCAAATTACCCCTACTCCTGGGGCAAAATTGTAATTTCATATTTAAATTAATTAAATAATTTAAATGGATAATTAAATTTGGGTCGGGGTGTTACAATAACGCATGTAAGTAGTTTCCACTGCATCATTTATTCTAAAATCATGGCTTCCAATGGTGATTTTGCTAATTGCATGTGCCTTAGTATAGGTGACTGCTGAACTTGCAATCGAGATATTAGAGCTCAATGCTGGGTTGAATGCCCTACTATTTTCAACTTCCTTGGAAGCAAGCATAGAGATCATGCGACTACGCCCAGAGAATGTGAGTCAATTCAGCTTCGATATCCAATTGATTTTTAAATATATATATATATATATATAAATGAGACTAATATAATTGTAATAAGAGACCAATAACGAACATCAATATTGTAATAGGAAAGATGGAAGAAAACCACAAGGACAACAATTGCCACTACAACGATTGGTGAAGAAGTACAAGATGATAATGCAGTACATGTAAGTTTTTTTATTCTTATTGCCCCATACGATTTATAATACATAAAATTTTGCCTTTTTTTTTTCCTAATTGCACACAGGTGGTTTGGAATTGCATCACCATCATGCAATTGCATGTTTGTAATGCAAACTATGACCGCATGTGTGCAAACGACTATTCAATAAAATTGGTTATTCATATATGTCGATGTTTCATTGTATGTGGGAAGAACAGAATGAAGATGAAGATCCAAACTCCACGGAGCATAAACACAAAGCTAATGAACGGGGTGCTTTACCTAGCACGAAGGGAAAGAAAAGTAAGTAACTACTTAATTATGGCTATTTAAGAAATTAGGGTTAACCAAATTATGGTTTAGGAAATTGGAGATATTTTGGAATGTTATTCGCATTACATGACAATATGTGATACTATG